TGATCTTGTTTAGTTGTAGAATTTGGAGGAGGGCATTAAGTTTGGGGGAAGTTGACAATTATCCGCCCCCTCCCCCCCTCCCCCTCCCCCCAAAGCTCTGGTGGTGGAAATATCAACCAACATAGTTGGTGGGGGGGGGGGGGCGCCTACTACTACTACTACTACTACTACTACGACTACGATTTCTACGACGTCTACGACTACGACGACTACGACAACTATGACTACGACAACGACGACTACTACAGCGACTAGTATACGACTATACTACGACCTTGACGACGACAACGACGACGACGGCGGCGGCGACGACGACGACGACTACTACTACTGTTACTGTATTCTACTGCTACTGCTATCGTCTCTACTGCCACTACGAGTAGTGCCCCTCCTCCTGCTTCCCCTGCTTCTCATCCTGCTGTTCCTGATGTCTATCATCCCCATCATCGCTCTGTCCTCTGCGTTGTCTTTGGGGGAGGTCTGCGCCTGACTCATACAGATTCCGGACAGCCATCATTCCGCAATTCCGCTACCATCGATTCAACACCATTGGCTACCTTTTGAATTACCAAAACCCGTGGTGCTTTTCTGGGCTACTCCTGTACAGAGTTCCCGAAAAATGGTACTAGAGGAAGTCTGCCCTAAACTTTGAGCCTTTGCTTGCCGAGCAACTCATGGGCTTTGGAAAGGTCCGTCTTGACCTGCAACAACAGGTTGAGGGCTGCATCCATGTGCGGTTTTGGGGTCTGAATTGACAATGGATTTGGGGACCAAGACTTCTGCAGCGCTCGTTTGGGAGATTCCAGGCTTCAGATTCGAGCTCGAGGGTTGGGAAATGATTTCTTTCATACTAAGTGGCCGGCTCCGCTTGCAAAGGCAGGGTACATTCCTGGCGGACCCAACTCCAGGGACCCAACTCCAGGAAAAACAAGTCCTTCAAAGTGTGTTATGCGGGAATTGCAAGCGTTTCAACATGTAACTTATCCTAAGTCTGTAACGTTGCACAAAACTAAAAGCCACCAAAATGCCCTCCATTCAACCACAAACCCATGAAGGGTCCATCTTGATTCCAGAGAAAGCGAACCCCTCTACTGCCAAGTGCATTAGGGGTGTATGGATCCAAGATTCAAGCACGTAGGGTTTCTACACCCCCAATCCGGTACGAATTCCATGCACAAAGTCTCGCGCTCGTACCCCACTTCTGACATTCCCATCTCTCAAACCCTACAGTACCTCCCTCACAATAAGTACTCTTCTGATGGATGTGCAGGTTGCATTATGATTCTGGCACAACTAAACGCGTGTCCCAAACTACCTTGGCTGGTGCTAAAGCGGAAGTGGGGCAGTTAAAAATCGATACAGTACTGGCGGCGTAGTTCTAAGGAGCTGAGGATTATGCAAGGATCATCTTTGATATCCACGCGCTCTTCCCGGAACCACTTCAGATTAGATGTATATGTGTATGTATATGTATATACATATGTATATATATAAACACATCATATGTACAATCAAATGCATACCATACACACACACACACAGATATATATATATATGTATCCCTTATATTTATCCCTGTATGATCACTATATAACCCCTTCAAAATGCCTTCTCGAGCTCCGACTTCAGCTGTTTGGCAGCAGCAGCCTCGTCGAGACCATCAGGCCCCTAGGGCCAAGGGCCCAAATGGAGTTACGGTTTACGGTTGAGGATGTAGAGTCTAGGGTGTATGGGTTTAAGGGCTAGGGATTATCAAGACATTATGGGCTTCTCCAAAGGGACTATATTGCGGCATGAGTCTGAGAAACTCCGATATCATCTTGAAAACTAATAGCCAGATGTCGAAAATCAAAGCTACCTGAGATGACAGCAAGACCATTTAAGCAGGGCTACCTATGTCAGTAGCCCAACAAAGCTCAACAGCGCAATAATAACAGCAGCAACGGAAGCAACAAGAAGAGTACTATATTATACGATCATGACTACCATGCAATACCCCAGCTCCAGAGCAACCGCTTATGTACTTGATCACCTTCACAGTAGCCCCCCCCCCTCAAAAAAAGGCACACCAAATATTTTGGAGGCAGTATGCCTACACGTATATCTATATACAGAAAAAAACATACAAATCACGTTTCCTTGACTTGAAAGTCCAACTTCAGATGGCATGACATTGCGCTGGGCAGATGTTAGCGCGCTTCGCGCAGGAGGTTCCTTAAACCATGAGCAAAGCGCCATCCAAAGAACCCCAAGACCTACACACAAACCTGAAACCTCAAAGCCTAAAAAGCCCTGAACCTCCATACCCTTTAACCTCGATACCCCCAAACCTCGCAACCCCCTAACCTCGCAACCCGTCAACCTCAAAACCTCTAAACCTCAAACCCCTAAACCCCGAAATCCTCAGCAGCCTCCTTGAGCTCAGACTGCATCTTCTGAATTTCTGCATCCTACGGGCACGACAAGGAAAAGGATTTCGGGCTGTTCGGATTTTGCTGGCGAAGCAGTACAATGATGTGGCCTCAATTTGATACTATGCTGTTACCTTGGTCATGGTGAGATGCCGTTGATATTGGAGTTGATGTGATCGCAGCAGAAAAAAAACCTACCAACAAGAGAAATTGTATAAGAGCATCTTATCGCCTCATGAAGCGACCGACTCGCTCAAGTTGGTCCCATCCTGAACCGGGCCGTCACCGGCCAGGTCTTTCCATGGAAAGCAAAGCCGGGCCAGCATC